TTTTTTTTTTTTTTACCTCCCTAGAAGCAAAAAGCTACACGCACAGATCTCTGTCTCATTACATCTTATTCCCCATTCTTTCGTGAACTGTCACCTACCATTTCTATGGTTTAAGAACAAACCTTCCTTGCTTTCAATATTTTCTTTTTTTTTTTTTGAGACAGAGTCTTACTATGTCGCCCTCGGTAGAGTACCATGACATCACAGCTCACAGCAACCTCAAACTCCTGGGCTTAAGTGATTCTCCTGCCTCAGCCTCCCAAGTAGCTGGGATTACAGGTGCCACCACAACACTCGGCTATATTTTTGTTGTAGTTGCCATTGTTGTTTGGCAGGCCTGGGCTGGGTTCAAACCCGCCAGCCCTGGTGTATGTGGCTGGTGCCCTAGCCGCTGAGCTACAGGCGCAGAGCCTGCTTCCAATATTTTTAATTAGGATGCATCAACTAGTCAGGTGGCAACTACTTCTGTTTTTCGAATATTTTTCATAATCACGTAAATACTTTACTCACCTTCTTCCATTAACCCTTGGATCTGCTCATCTTTCTCTTTCAAGAGGTCTGAAGTTTCACTAGTATTTAATCTAGTGGCAAGTTCTTCTTTTATCATTTTGATTTCCTAGTTAAAAAAAAAATCTGTGAATACCATAAAGAATTATTTTCATTCAGGTTTTATTCCCCATCCAAAGAAGCCATCCATAACCATATCCTTGGTAAGAAGCTGTAAATTTTATTCAGATAAACTATAACTTTGGCTAACTAAAACTAAGAAAAGAGCTTCAAGCATAACATATAAAACTTAAACTCAGATATATAAACAAGTTTTAATATGAAAAGACAAATAAGTTAACTTTCAATACCCTTCTTCACTATCTCTACATGTATTCCTTTTTTTTGAGACAGAGTCTCACTATTTTAACCTCAGAGTGCCATGGCATCACAGCTCACAGCAAACTCAAACTCTTGCTGAAGCGATTCTCTTGCCTCAGCCTTTCAAGTAACTGGGACTACAGATGCCTGCCACAATGCCTGGCTATTTGTTGTTGTTGTTGCAATTGTCAATGTTGTTTAGCTGGCCCAGGTCGGGTTCAAACCCACCAGCCTCAGTGTATGTGGCTGGTGCCCTACCCACTATGTGTAATCTACACTGAGGTTAAGCATTACATTTGAAACAACTTAGCAAAGAGTCAGGGACAGGAAGAGGTACACTGGTTAGGTACTCTGGGGTTACTATTATCGTCCAAAATGAGCCAGGTACTTAAAGCAACCAAAGAGATGGAAGTGTGTGACGTATTTCTTTTCTGCATGAGTACACTCAACAAAATTATAAATTAACAATTACCATTGGTCAAGAAGTGGGAAGCAATCTAATTGGGAAAGGCCAAATGCTGAGACAATGTTATTAGTAATATCCGGGATGCAAGCAATAATTATTAACCTTAGTTTCCAATTTCTGAAACAGGCAACATTCCAAATTAGACCTATTAGAATAAAGGTTCTGGATCAAAAGTGACTTTGCAGCTTGGGGCCCGTGGCTCAAGTGACTGAGGCGCCAGCCACCTACACCCAAGGTGGCGGGTTCGAATCCAGCCTGGCCCGCCAAACAACAATGACGGCCGCAACCAAAAAATAGCCCGGCATTGTGGCAGGTGCCTGTGGTCCCAGCTACTTAGGAGGCTGAGGCAGGAGACTCACTTGAGCCAAAGAGTTGGAGGTTGCTGTAAGCTGTGATACCACTGTACTCTACCCAGGGGGATACCTTGAGGCTCTGTCTCAAAAAAAAAAAAAAAAAAAAAATAGTGACTTTGCTACCAAGGGGACATCTGGCAAAGTCTGGCAACATTTTCAACTATGGCAACTGGAATGGAGGAGGGTGCTACTGGCATGTCATGGATAGGGGCCTGGGATGGTGTTACCAATAATGCACAGGACAGTCCCACACAACAGAGTTATCCAGCCCAAAAGATCAATAGCATACAGCTTAAGAAATTCTGCATTACAGTAAGTCAACATTATGTCTCCACAACCATTAGAAATTTATATTTTAAAATTTCTTTGACTTGAAGAAGTATATAGGAATGCTAAGTTTAAAGTAACTGGAAAATAATAAATAAGGGAAACGATAATTTTATTTATAAAGTACCGTCTAGATTTAAGTGTTAATTATTTTGATGAAATTATTATTTATAAAAATTATTCTAATAATTCTTACTATATGTCTTGCAAGGACTTATAAATTATACAAATATTTGTTTTTAAAATATTAAAAAACTGCAAGCTTATAAGAAAAACATCTACTATTTAAATATTAATACACTATACTACTTCTCTTTTTTCCCCCAATACTAAAAAATTATTAATGTACTCCTTAAAAATCAACGCCTCAGAATTTAATTAATATTATTTTAAATTTCTATTACCTTTTTAGCAGCATCTCTCTCTTTGCAGGCTAGTTGAACTTTCTTTTCTGCTTCTGCAATTCTTTGAGTAAACTCATCTTTCAAGGAAGAAATGCTACTGCTTTCTTCTTTCACTCTGAACATTTCACTTAAAGTTAAAAAATAATATTTAAAAATGAAGATAGTGTTTATATATTTCATAAGTAACAAGATGAGTTCAGTTCTCAAAAGGAAGATAACATTTTCTCCAACTGAGCTTATTAAAACAGCTCAGTTTTAGGCCTGTTAACTTTTTTTTTTT